TCAGAAGCCAGAAGGCAAATACTACCTGCTTGCCCTTGTCCAACAACGAACTATACGGGCTTCCTCCTCCAGTGACCAAATACGACCGCCTGTTGGGGAGCCCCACCTAATGATGTGGGCCTAGGACGTCATAAGTTGGGATTTTGTCAAGTCCATGATCCCTTCCTTGTTTTTTTGGGGCTGGTAGCGACACGCACGTTCTGGCCCCTCCTACATCGAGCCTGTCGACGCGAGGGAGTGGGGGGGGGCGGAGGTGGAAGGGAGGAGCGGTAATAACATTGTGTGAAAGGGAGAGGTGTAATAGCACGTGTAAAACGGGAGAAGCTGCGAGGACTATTTCTCAGATTTTCCCCAACTTCCTACCACTTTTTTCCGGGATTCCCCGAAAATTTTCCTACTTCTCCCCAAAAATTTTGCTGTCGAGCGGGGAGAGGGTATCCTACACAGCAAACAGGAAAAACCATGAAAAGTCGGGCAACCTTCTACAGAAGATCAGAAGGAAATACGTCCCCCCTCCTCCTTCCGCTCCCAACAACGAGCGAATACGTCTCCCCCTTTACAACGTCCGTGAAGCAAGAAAAGTCAACTACCAAAAAAAATTTTCTCAGCATAAATACGACCTTCCTGTGGGGAATCCCCAACAACGATGTGCCCTGGTGAAAAATGAAATGCCAGATTTGCGAACATTTTCGTGGTCGATTGCCATGTATCGCAGCAAAACTATCTTCATTAATCATTTTAGGTTGGGTGCTATTTCTAGTTTGGTATCCACTTAAGACAGAGGTGGATCGGAACGAAAAGTGACAAAGCCGATACCGGAACTCTCTGCATCGAATTCTAATCAATCAGATTTTTGTACTTTCGGTTCCTTTCTGTGAATCCATCAAGGCTAATGAGAAACTTTCCAAGTCGGCCCGTCGTCACAAAAGCGGTCACAGAAGTTCAGAATTTCACGAAGGAGCAGAATGAAGAAGTTCTGGAGATTCACCTTCACCCGAATCGCAAGACTACGTGAAAGTTCTCATTGATGGAAATTTATTAGGCTATTCCGCAGTAATGAGAAGGTAGAACCCCTGGAAGGACCGCTGGAACCATCCTCTATGCTGACGACATTGGCCTGAGAGCGGACAGCGGAAAAGAACTTTGGGGCAAGGTGGAAATGTGGCAGGAAGCGCAGCTGACAAGGTTGTCTGGTAAATGCGAAAAAACAAGTTGTCAGCTCCGAAGAGTATAGCACTCACTGTAAGCCGGGACAGCAAACTCATCGGAATGGTTGAAGACTCCCACTACTTCAACCAGGGTGGGGAGGGGGGGGGGGATCTAACAGCTGGCGGTAGCGTGACCAGGCGATAAAGCTCGAGTAAGTGCAGCTTGCCTGAAAAGGAGTGAGGTCTTTGGAAAGCCTCTGCGATTGGCAATGCTCAAATGCGCTCATGAGCAAGGGAAGACCTCTCGGGTGCCAAAATTTCTGCCGAAAAAAGAACAACGAACCACACGAAATGAGAAGCTTCCGGAATCCAGAAGAAAGAAGCTCTGGGGAAAAAGGTATATGAATTTTTCCTCATTCTTTTGGGTTGGTATCAGATGAACGTCGCTTGTGGAACAATGAAATACAGCTGAGATGGAACCAGATGACTTATTCTGTGAGCATTTTCTGTGAAGGAAAGGTTCAATGAAAGTGAGCAACCCGTGAGACACAGTGCACCGTAACGACACTGCTCAACTTCTAGTTGTTTCCTGCTTTTCTTTATCTCCGAGTACTTCGAGGACTAAGCCACTGTTTTCGTTGCGGATCAGCTGGTTTAGCCAGAGAAATGAGAGAGAAACAGCTAAGCTGTCGTCACGAATCGTGCTAGTAGGTACAGAATACAAAAAGAAGGTCAAGAAGACCTGCTTTTGGCTCTAACACGAATTAACTTTGTCAGCACTTTGGAACAGCCTAACACTGCTTACATACTGTATTTAGCCTTGTTTGCTTATTCGCTGGCAAGTATGCACACTTATGTCGTCAACAGGGCATCGTTTGGCTATGGGGAAAACTTCTAATGGATGCCCCCCCCCCAATTCTCCCCTTTGATACGATCCCCTCACCACAACAACCAATCATCCAGAAATCCAAACTTCTCCAGAAAATTGCCGTTGAGAGGGAGGAGGTAGACAGAACTAACAGACGATCAGAACCAGTAAATTTGCAGCGTCGCCGACTAAGGAGGAGAGGGTGTAAAGTCGGGGTACAAGAGTCGTTGGCGAAACACGTAAGGGGGGGAGGGGGAGAGTCGTAGTTGACCGCTGAAGAGGGGGGAAGGTCGTTGTTGGGAGAGAGGTGGTCCTATGTGCCTTTGAGAGAAACCCTACCTAGTTGGTGGCGCCGCCCAAAGTTCTGTATAACTACTATTCCCGATAGTTGAAAATAGAAGTTAGTTTCTGACAACCCACCCCCCCCCCATTCGACGGAGAATTTTTGGGGAGGAAGCAGCGACTTTTCGGGAAATTTTGAAAAAAAAAACTGGTAGGACGCTAGGAATATGTAGGAAAGTGGTAGGCAGGTGTTGGGAAAGGGAGCCGTAAAGTCTTACCAAGAAGGGGGGGGGTCGTACTGACACCACCATTTCACACATCACGATGCTGTACCCTGTATACAGTGCGCGTAAAATGGGAAAAATAAGCAACCAGAACAATTCTCCTCGAGCCATCTATGACCCGCGCCTCCCTTCAGCGAGCACGATCCCTTTTGGAGGAAGCTAAAGAGAGCAGAAGCCAAAGAAGCAGTTAAAAGTTCACTTATATATAGTACGTAGGAGGCTTTTTATTGACTCTGGGCTCTTTACTTTTATTTATATAATTATTTTTAGAGGACATTATAATAGGAGGCTTAGGGCTAGCACGATTCTATTCCACCCAGCAAGACCAATGGTAAGAAAGAATAGATGCGGTCGACGAGATATGCCAGAAGAAGGAATGACTTCACATTATGAGGACAAGTAGTCCATAAAGGTTCCAATTTTTCTAAATGGGAAAGTTACGCCTAATTTGACATGCCATACCATTGCGCTTTTTTCCAGTGCAGTCTAGGATGGCCACCTATCACTGGAACGAGCTTCCATTCCAGCTGTGCAAGCTCTCTAACTGCTCCGAAAGCTGCAGTGTTTAGGAGGGACTTCTGCTCCTTCCAAAACTCTCATTTTCTTAGTTGACAGCATAAACATGCCAACTCCGCGAAGAGCAGCTTCAATGCCAGGCATGCAGAACAAAAAAGGAAGAATGGGCGGGGCTTCATTGTCCTAAATCCTCCTTTACTAGCTTAACATCCTGTCTTGCTCACCCTACCCTGCCCTGCAGTGCCAGCGAGGTCGCCAGTTTTTTGCTGCAAAAAAAGCGTGACTGTTGCAGCAAGGCAGGATATTTAGCGAACTAAGGGTCCCCACCATTTTAGTTTTTTTAGACGTCTTGCCCCACGGCTGCACCTTAGGAAAGTCCACAGTAGCCGAGGCGAGACCCGAAGAAACAGCTTGTTTAGCGCACGCATGTTTTCCCTAGCTCAACTCTGCTTATTGGAGCGCCTTACCTATACCGCTCAAACTAATTCTACTGAGAGCTATACGCCCTAGCAAAATAGTGCTCCCTCTATAAAGACGCCAACCCGTCGCGCACCAGCTAACCCGCACCCTCCTATGACGCCACCACGCCCCAGATCAAGGTTTTCGTTTTATGCTAGTCTGGCCCCATGAAACCTTCCACCAGACTCTCACTATACTTGCTCCCAAGGAGAAGAAGACAATTATACTATTAATAATCTGGTTGAAGGTTTTGAGGCATAATACTCTTTGCCGAATTCTTGAAAAAAAAAACTTTTTGGATGCCTAAGTTATAATCTTGATTCGCGCACTGCCGTTGAACAGCAGTTATCAAACGCACTCTTGGATATCCACAACTGAATTCGCTGGACCAAGCCGTCCAGCGTTCACGTGGTATCATGGCTAAGCGGTTGCATTGGCGTGTCCATGGCCCGCCCAATTACTACCTTCGTTTCCGATAAAGCGGAAAAAGTTATAGTCATCGATCGCTTGCCGCGTCATCCCCTTCCTTTCGAATACGGCCACATCTTACAATAAGCATTAATAAATTCCATTCAGAAGTCGTAGTGCCGCTCTTTGGTATGCCCGATGCTACCGTTATACAACAACCTGTACGGCCCCATCCGTATAACAACAAGTCACTGCCTACTTACCTCGTCATCTGGTGCAGCTGTGATTAGCGGTCGTTCGCCAACGCGGGCCGCCCATTCGCGTCGTGCCAGGAACAATGCTTTTTTCCAGCGCTAATTTAGTCATTTTTCCACCCTTGCTGAAGATAAAGAGCTGCCCCCCCTAATCTTTGCTGAAAAGCTAGCCAAAACAGCTGAAAGTCTGGGAAAAAATGACTAATTTAGCCTGGAAAAAGCAAATAGTTCCTAGCACGCGCTGCGGCCCGTCGACGACCGCCCTAATCAACTGCCCGGATGACGAGGGGTACCTTCCAGCGGATCTCCCAGCCGTCGCGTACCAATTTGTACCATCCCAAGTGGCAGAAACTTTTGGCGTGGTCACTAACCGATCCGGGAACTGATCCGTGCGAGCGGAAGCGTGCCAGTTGTTACTACACCACCTTCGCCTCAGTTGAGCTCCATAAAGTACATTTTTTGTTGTCGTGGGCAGACCTTTTTTCAAACAGATTTGTGCATTTGAAAGAGGAAGAACTAGATCGAATGCAAATGTGACCCCCCCGACCGACGGCGTACCCCGCGCTGGGGTTACCCATCGTACCTTGCTCGCAAAGAGTTCTCTTCTTTATGTCACCCCTTCCCCGTCGTTGGTTGATGAGTTTTCGCCATAAAAAATGAGGGGAGGGGGAACTGGAGAATTAGGTAAAGCTAGAAACTCCCAGGTTGAGGTTCTGAGAGTGGGTCGTGCAGAAAGCAGCGCTGAAGGTAAGTTATGCTGAATTAAAGCGCTGGGCCGGGGCTACTGTTGAAATCTATCTATCCCTGTGGTTCTACGGTAAATTTGGGTAGGGTTCCGATTACCCTCCCTTACTGTGTTCGAAAGTGTGATTTGGTAATCACCTGAAGTAGATTGTCTGGACGGCGTCGATCGACCGGTTGGAGTTGATCGATGTGGTGGTTTTGGTGGAGCGTCTAAAGCAATAAATCATCGATATGAAAACTTGTCACTGCAATTGGCGCAATCTTTTTGGCTGCGCTGTCACAGCGAAACTCGAGACGTCCATATCAGAGGAAAAAAACCCTTCAACTTACTGAAATCTAGCGCAAACGGCCGTGGCGCTAGCATTGTAGCAGATTCTGATCGACGTTCTATAGCAGATCCACCTGAACGAATCTCTCAAATGGCAACAGCACTGATAAACTGATAAGAAATAGTCAATGAAATAAGGAGACCTGAATAGTAACCAGTATAATCCGAAGCGTAGCCGTTTTGAATTCGTTTTGCACTCGATGTGCTGTCCACTTCCCGAGGCAGCGTTCGGCTTCCTTGTTCACGGGATGCCGCACGACTCTGAACAAATACAAAAATAGGACCATCTGACTTTTTGACGGTACTGGTAGGGGAATGGGGTCATCGAAGGACACCTGGGGCTGAGCGCTGATGGGGGGAGGCAACAAAGAACTCCTTGGGTTGAACTATACTTGAGCGAAACTAGAATTACCGTAATGGAGATAAAAACTTTTGCGTAAGCATCAATAGGCAGGGAAGCAGCAGCAGGTAGGTGAAACAACTCAAGGTACGGTAATTCTGATTCTGATTACAATTTGCATAACTACTTCTTTAATATCCCTCCAAGGTTTCAAATTTTCTGTCCTAGAGCCTCTAGACATATTAGTTTGTCGATAATATGGAGAATTTCGTTGGTAACAAGTGCGAGAAGGCATCCTCTACCCTGCGCTGGTCCGTTTCCTAGAATTCGGATCGCACTTAATCGGAAATTTTGGGCGGAAGGGTATGGGAATGGGGAAAAGCTGGTGAGTATAACTCAGAACCTTTGTACCAGGGGGTAAGCGTTGACCTCGCTGAACCCTGAATACCAGTCCGGTCCGAGGGCAAGAAAAGCTACGGGCCGATCAGTCAAATAGAGCTCGAGGCGACCAATCTTCGCGGACTGTAGGTAGCTAGCCAATTTAGGGAGCCAGAAGAGAACCTCTGGGGACAAGTTCTCAGCAGCTTATTTTGGGGTGATTGTGCTGCGAGCAGTACTCCAAGGAGGAGAGAGAATTCAATGGGACTCGTCCAGCCCTTTTCTGTTCGTCTACAGTCTCTAGAACCAGGGCTGTTGAACGGGGTTCCCCCGGCACAGAAAAAGTATTTCGGTGGAAGGAGGACGCAAGGCGTAGTCTTGCATTGATTTCCACCTCCACCCTCTCCGATCACCCCGTCAAATTAACGCCCACAGTACTACAGTATTGAGGATTTAATTATTGGCTATTTGCATATCACAGTGGAAAAAAAATGAAAGAAGCTCTGTAGACTGAGGCTACAGTACACAGGACTCACCGTTTTCAGTCCGTGGCTGGCTCCAAGCGCATCGTCGAAGTCGCTCAAAATATTTTCTAGGGAGTCGCTGGAATGAAAAATCTTCCGTGATGGCAGGTTTGCAAGAAAATCAATTGAAAACAAAATAGTGTGAAGGAAATGGCGCAGAGAGGCATTCGTGGCTAGGTTTACTGCAGACACTATGGACTGGCGATCTGTACATAAAACTAGGTCTCAACAACTTTTTAAGTCCTAAGTTGTCAGTGTTTCACGGTTTGCCAGTGTCTATCGAAGGATAGTGCAAATTGATGTGATTGAGTAGCAGGGCAAGCGATGTGGGTTTACTGACGACGTCGGGCGTCAAAGACGTTGATATGGATGTCATTGATGCACTTTTAGGTATTTTCCCTCAAACCGGGATAGTTAGCCTCTATACTCCCCCGTTTGGCTACCTGCTGATAGCGCAGCGTGAATAACCGTGCTTGATAACCATGGGGATCCTGTCATCAGTGTGGTGGATCTTATCGAGTTGTAGTTGTCCTTCGCTAGACAGTATTTGGAGGGGGGGGGGCACGAAGCGCTGACAACTCATGATATAAAGATATAGCACATGACTACCTGCAAGTTAGAGCACTTCTCGTGGGTAACACACAGATCATGTGCCCTTTCTGTGATTCAGAAGGGTGTGGTAAGGTGCTTGGGACTTTGATTCATAGCCATTCACTCCTCTTCATGAACGGCTACGCCCACTGCAAATGGCGTAAGCAAGTGTGGCAGATAGGTGACGGTCTCTCCCGTTCATATGCTCTTTCCTCTCTTTCGTACTGCCTCTCCTCCGTGCCCTCAGTGTTTCTCGTCGTGTGCTCACGAACTGCTGAAAACCAACTGAAATGAAAGGAGGAAGAAGAGATCGGGAAATTCTGGTGGCCCACCATCTCATGCCTGACACCAGACACCTTACAAAATTTTATCTCACTTTCTTCGGGTAAGCTTTGTTACTTCCGGGAAGCGGAATCTAGCAGAGTGATTCCTAGCTAGTTGACTCGACATAGTGTATCTACTGTTTCTGGTGTGAATAAGGAGGAGGCGATTTCTCTCGTGACCAGGGTACAGCATCGTGATGGCGAAATGGTGGTGTCAGTACAACCTCCCCCCTTCCCAACAACCACCTACTTCCTACAAGTTCCCAATTTCCTACCAGTTTTTCCAAAACTACCGCATTTTCCAGTTTTTCACCCAAATTTTTCTATCGAAGGGGGAGGGG